TTTCAGGAATAACTTAGTGTCTGAAATCCCTGACTAAAAGTAAAATACATTATGATCAGGGTGGAAAGTAAAAAGCAGTAATAATGGTATTTGTGGACCAGACACTATCATAAGTGCTTTATTAAGTATAGCCTCATTAAATTCTCATACCAACCATATAAGGTAGTATTATTTTTCTCAGTTCACATATGAGGAAAGTGAGGCACAGTAAATACCTGCTCAAGTATTATATGAATGATACAGAATGGTTCCTTAACCACATTAGGTCTCTATAGGTTTTCAAGTGAACTATAATCTATTTACCTATTTTCTCAGAAGTTAGTGGCTTTTTGGTAAATACTATGAATAGGGTATTCAGAAAAGAAGTCAGTAGTGACTTATTTAGGGCCAATATTCTTTTGCAAAGCCAATAAAATCAATGAAAACTTTAACATCTGTCTATTCTTAGACCAGGCAGCCAGGATTCTGTGCTGGTCAGGAAGATGTTACAGTCTTTCAGAGTTTATAGTACTTGACTCTGTTACAGTTTAAAGCATATTCCATATGAAGGAATTTGTCATGCAGTTGTACAAGTGCACAAAGCTACATGCACAGTAATGTTTATGGCATTGTTTATATTAGAAAGCTGGAAAAACCAAGGTGTCCATCAATAGGGGATTAATTTGTAATAGATACACCCATGCAGTGGAATGCTGTGTAAAATGGAGACCTATGTATATTGATATTTAAAGATATTCAAGTAATAGTGAAAAAAAAAATCACACAGTATAGCCTATATATATATATATAAAGTGTGTTGTAAGTGTGTGATCAAGTGTTTGTATACATGTAAAAAAAAATTGGAAGGACATTTGAGAAGAATTTTTACTTCTTTTGGGGATCATAAGAGCTTTTACTTCTGTGTCCTTAAGTACCATTGTATTTATTTTACCATGAGCACGTAGATTTTATAATGTTAAGAAAATAAAGCTTAATAGTTTTCCATAGCAATCAGTATACCAGCAATCACTAGCTGCCCCTTGGTTTCCTAGGTGAGTTAAAATCTAATGGAAGGGTCTGGAAATCTGTATGATAACAAGGGTTTTAAATGGTTTTCACAGTCAGACACCTGTGAGTGTGTGCACAAATATGCATAATATAGACTATAGAGAAATTACTATAAAGATGATTAAAAGAATAAGACTACTTTGGATAATGCTGAACTAATAATAACATTTAAAATTTGAAGGTAATAAATGATTTTCTAGGAAGTTATCAAACATTTTGGAGATAAAAAACCTAGTTTAGTCCAAGTAACATAGAAGAAACTGAGGCACATATCAGAGACACTGCCCAGTCTGTGTCATAGGTGAATTCTTCCGAATTTTTAAGGAGTGTGTAGTTCCAAATCTTCTTTAGGTATTTTAGAGCATGGAGAAAAAAAGTAAAGCTTGTGAGTGCAAAGTCAACGTAACACCAATTCCAAACCTTGCAGATACCCTTTTTTTTCTTAAATTAATCATTTTAAGGTTGTAGTTAAAATTTTATAAATACTATTTGAAACAGTAATACCCCATGACAAAATTGAATTTATTCCAGGGATCAAAGGCTGGTTCAATGTTAGGAATTCTATTAAGAGAATTATTAATAGACCAAAAAGAAAATCATGATCTTAGTTTTCTGCCAAAAAATGCATACAATAAAATTAACATCTAGTTGTGGTTTTTGAAAAAACAAAGCTAGAAGAGTAGAACTTGCTGAATAATTTCTTAACAAAAGTATTGCAGAGTGTTAGTCAATACCCTGCTGATTGAACATTAGAAGCAGTCTTATTAAAGTTAGGGAAAACACTGTAAATAGCCCAATTAACATCTCAATTTATTTTGATAAATGATTTTAAAGATTATTCAGAAGAATAAGTAATGTGAAAGTAGCCTAGAAAATTGTGGGGAAAAAAATTGAGAGCTGGGCTTCCCTATTAAGTATTTAGATACTATAAAGCTAAATAAAGTAACTGAAACAGAATGTTACAGTTCAGGAATTGCTGTATAGAACTGTGTAGCATAGAGTCAGAAAAAAATACATGTAAATGTATTAGTGGCTTTCCAAGTTAAAGGAGAAAAGAAGAAAAACAAATATACTCATATTGACAGTGAGAGAAAAAATTTCAGTAACCTTTTTGAAACGGCAGTTGGTAGTAGCTAAATGTGTTTTTGAATATATATGTATACTTTGGTCCAGCAGTTCTGCTCCTGGAAATTTATTCCAAGTATTTCTTTAAAGACAAATTGTGTCTAATTCACAAGACTATGAAGATAAATCATATTTCTTGATACTGTTTTATCAGAAATTATTTTTGTGAATTTGTATGTCAAAGCTCCTTTCTTCCCCTACTACTTTCAGAGGCTCATCGCCTCTCCAGTTTGGGCTAGCTTAGAGTAGTCAGTGACACATATGCGTGACTTGGACCTCAAAGTGAGTTTTTTAGGTGATGCAGCCAGGATCAGTTGTAGAGAAATAACTGCAAATACTTTGAGCCCTTTATCTCCCCTTTCAAAACCTCCTTCTTGTTTTTTTGAGGGATGGCCCTTTGACATACAAACTCTTAAAATTTTGTAATGTCTGATGCAGTAGAGAGATAGTATTCCTCCTTGCTTTCCTGCTCTCCACCCTGGCCCATGGAAAGAGCTTTGGGTTTGGAATTAAAACACTTGGTTTCTAGAGCCAGTTCTTCTGCTAATTAGCTCTGAGGCTTAGAGAAGGAGCAAAATTGCCCTTCTGAACTTACTGTCTTTCAAAGCCAAGCATCTTAACTCGTTAAGTAGCATCTTGACCACTTCGGTCCCTCCTGTTTGTTCCTTGATCAGTTGCAAACCAAATTTTATTCTGCCACATCTCTACAACTGCTCAAGCAGCAAAAACTTCCTAATTGCAAAATAAAGAGAACAGTTTTTCCCCTTTTTTATTTGGTCCCACTAATTCCCATTTTTTAAAATTACCAGTTTTCTGATTAAATGATATAACATATTTTTTATGTTATACAGACTCATGTAAAGAAAACAGAAATATCCCTTGATCTCAGCATCCAGAAATAAACAGTGGTATATTCAGTACCATTTATATGTACATGTCTTAATAAAATTGATATACTTATGTATATACTGCTTTGTATCCTGTCTTTTGTTTTTATAACATTAATACTGTAAGCAGTGAGTTTTAAGGGTATGTAGTTTTCTCATTATTTGGTTATTCCATAATTAATTTTATCTGTTTTATTAATGTGGTAGGTTTAGGTTGCTTCTCATTTTACCTTTGTACATAAATCCATATGTGCAGTGATCATTTTCTTGAAGGCTTGCTCCCGCCTTCCAAAAACCTCTTTCCATTCTTGGTTCCCCATTTCCTACTGGTACTTTTCCCCCACTGCCTCTTTCATAGGCTCCCTTTTACACCTGCTCTTTAGGCTTTGGTGTTTTTCCATTTCCCTTCACTGCTCTGGGATTGTGGTGATCTCATTTACTCCCCAGCTTTAGTCATCACCTATTGTCAAGTTCCCAAATATGGAATACGTCTCCACAGCGTGTGTTCTTCTGCACTCTACCTCTGCATTTCTGACTGTTCTTGGTTATCTCCTCCTGAATGTCCCACAGGCACCTGAAACATTTATAACGAGGATACGAGGATACGTAAACTACATTTGATTTCCTTTGAGGTCTTCCCTTTATCTAACATACCTGGCATATTTTAGATGCTTTGTTTTATAAGCAAAAGTGTTTAAGAAGTGCAACGATCCCTTAAGGGTACCAAGTGGGTGGAAAAGGGTAGCAGATAAGGGCAATAATCATACAAAAATTCTTGCAGAACCTGCAAGGTTGTGTGGCCCTCCTTTTCTTCATAGTTCCCTTAATGTCAACCTGCCTCTTTATCCTCCTTGCCCTTTTAAATTTCACACAGAAGTGATGCCCCTTAGTGGCAGAAACAGGAACTGCTTCCAGTGCTGATAAGTCACAGTAAAAATTATTGTTACCTTGTGCATGTAAAATAAGTAGTTAGTGTTATTGTGATACACTGCTTAACCATTGATAGGTGCTTTTTTGTAATTCTCTTTATTTCTGACTTAATACCATAACATTGAGGTACCTTAATCTTTCTTTGAGTGTTTTGGGAAAAACAAAAAAGACTAAATATGCTCCCTTTCTACAAGAATTTGTGTTTTTTGAGAGGTAGAGACAAGGATACTTAGTGCTTTTTAAAATTTTGAATACTTTATAATGCCTGTATAATAGATAGTACTCCAGCGTCTGAGTTAAAATTCAATCTTGTAACCTAAAATTCTCTTTTTTTGTCTGATACTTGTAGTAGCCAGTCTAGAAATGCTTGTTGAATGACTAGAATGATCTGTGTACGTCCTTGAAAGCCTTAAGGCTTTAAAAACAGAAATGAAAATTGTTGTTTTTAAGGAAAGTGGTATAACCACATTAAATACAATCTGGAAAATAAAGAGGAAAAAATCCTCCTCTTAATCTCACCTACAAAATTGCTAATAGAAATTTTATATATCTGTTTATTTTCAAATTTGTGTTTATGTGGTTAAAATTATGTCACCTGCTTTTCCCCCCATAATATGTTGTTTTATGACTTATTTTAAATGGCTCCATAATAACCTACTAGTTGCCAAAACTTTGGGTCCTGTTGTATGCACAGTGTTTATAAACAAGAGTGAATGTTACAATGTTTCCTTAAAAATATGACTCTTAAGAAAAAATACTATTCTAATAAAATAAAATTGTTATCACATGGACTTTAATGAGTAGAAGAATTATAACCTTCAATTGTAATGTCAGTACCTTTTTATTTTCAAACACATAAATCTGGAACTTAAGGGAGTTGGTCACCAGTTGAGAGTCACATACCATATATCAGCAATGTATTTTAGAGAAGTTATAAGCAGAAGTTATACAGCTGCTTATTTGGAGAATTATTGTCATAAATCTTAATATTAACATGGTGTTCTTTTATAGATTATGGAGCTTTGTGGTGCAACAAGACTTGGTTATTTTGGAAGAAGTCAATTCTATATAGCTTTGAAACTTGTAGCTGTTGCCCAGTCTGGTTTCCCTTTAAGAGTGGAAAGTATAAATACAGGTAAATATGGAATATATTAGTAACTGAAATAAAAATAGACTTCTAATCACAAATGAAGTAAAGTCAGAACTGTTGAATCTCTCTGATATTATAGTGGCATTTGTAAACGTCATGAATTTATTTTCACTACTATGCTTTTTCCATTTGTGATATTAGAAAAATATATCTCTCTTAAATCTGTTGTGGCATATATGTGCTTCATAGATATCTGATGATAATATAAAAACTGTTAAAGTGGCAATTTTTTTTCCAGAATTAATTCACTAAAAATTGCCCAGAAAGAATTTAGCTGAAAAATTTATCAAGGTAAATGATGAATTGTAGTGACCATTTTCATATATACCTTCCTTATACTCTTAATATAAATATAATTCTTAAATATAAAACATTGTACTTTGTGTTGTCCTATATGGGAAAGCTTTTAAAGTTCCACTTGAAATTAGAAAGTATTAGTTAGCCAAACTTTCTGAATGATACAGTATAAAATACCAGCAGACTAAAACCTATTTATAGACATCTGACTGCCTTATAAGTGTCACCTGGGGTAATTTGTTTTTCTGTTATTTGGAGGTTTGTTGATGTTGAAGGATATAGAAATTCTGTAAATATAGGCACTTAAATGCAGAGTTCTGTTGTTGCCATAGGGAAAGGGAGAAAGAGAAAACTTGAGATTTTCTGTTATATTAAGAGTTTTTCTAGTTTTAAGTACTAGATCAGCTTATTAGTCATCTGGAGCTTTTTATTGTGGACTTACGGTTTGCCACACAACATTCTTCTAGATTTGAGAGTTTTCATTCTTTTCAGGTAATTTTGAATTATTTTACATAAATACTGAATCTTAATATTTCCCCTCCTTAGTGTGAAGATTCTAAAGAAAGAGGCAGATAATCATAGTGGAAGGAAGTACACATTCTTCTAAAAATAATTCTGCTAGTGTATTGTTCTAGTCTAAAAAAATGAGTTGTGATTGACCTGCAGAGAAATTCTCAGTCTTTATCTTCTCCGTTTAAACCGACTGTAGAATGTCTGCCTGTTGGAGTGTCATAAACGAGACTGAAGTAGATAGACACAATGTCTTGTTCTGTGTCCTTGGGAGATGAACAGTGAGACATTTTCAGTAATTTCTGCCATGAAAACATTAATGTAGCCTCAAATGTAGTGACATGTTACATGTTTTACTCAGAACTGTAACATCTTTAGAGAAGTAGTATGAGTAGAAACAGTCTAGGTTTGAGGTCAGACTGACCTGGGTTTACATCCTAACAGTCAGTTACTAACTTGTCAGTGACCTTGGCATTTTGGAGCCTCAGTTTCCTTATTTGTAAAATAGGGACTTTGCAGGGTTGGTATGCTTATGAGGTGAGGTAAATAAAAAATCAGTTAAGGGCCAGCCATGAAATGGGCACTTAATACAGCAATTAGGACCCCTTAGAAGGACATTTGGTGTTACTACTACTTTCGAGGTAATAGTCTTTCTAAACAGTTAGACAGAGATGATGGTCTAACTTTTGCAGTGATAAACATTTTCTGTCTGTTGTTCCTCCATCAGTTTTTGCAAAAATTCCTTCAAATAATCTAATTAGTCTCCTTTTTCAGTTTTTTGAATGTGTGTCATTTTTCATTTTAAATTCATAATTCTTTGTGTGGTTAACAGTAAAGGACCTTCCTCTGCCAAGATTTGTTGCTTCAAAGAATGAACAGGAATCTCGCCATGCAGCCTCATATTCTTCAGATTCTGAAAATCCGGGGTCTTATTCTGGTGTTATTCCCCCACCACCTGGCAGGGGGCAAGTGAAAAAGGGGTCTGTGAGCCATGATACTGTCCAGCCTCGCACATCTACAGATCAGCAGGTAATCAGGTGCCTGTAAATGTTACCAGTTGATGTCCTGTATAGATGGTATACACTCAGACATTTATTGAGTACCTCAATAATGACAATGTTACCTTAAAATTTAAATTTTAAAATAATACTCTTTCCAGGAACCTGTATCTCCTGTAGTTTCGCCACAGCAGTCCCCACCAACTTCTCCACACACATGGAGGAAGCACAACCGTCACCCCAGTGGGGGAAATAGTGAGAGGCCTCTTGTAGGACCCGGGCCATTTTGGTCTCCCTTTGGTGAAGCACAATCAGGTATCTCAAAATTCTTTAGAAGTAACTGTTATTTACTAAGGGTTGTAAATTGAAAGAAACTTGATAGCATTCTTTTAAGAGTTGACTCCAAGAATTTTTAATTATAAGTGATTTAAATAGAAGCAAAAGCTAACTGAAAATTTGTAGGTAGATATAGCATTTGAGCAGTAGTAATTGTGTTTTCTTAAGTCTATGATGTTTAAACAAAATTTTATAGATACCAGGATCTCTGAAGATAAAATGAATAAATAATTATTTCCCAGAATATTAGATATATATTAGTTTCAGTTTTGATGAGGAAAGCAGAGTAATAATTAACAAGATTTAAATGAGGTGTAATTTTAAATTGACAGAAAATATTCTAATTTGGAAATAGTTAGCATTTCTTCAGAGTTAGAGTTTGAAATGACACTTTCCGTATTATGTGTGTGGTGATTTGTTACAATAAAGAAGCTGGTGACTTCATTTTTTTCTTCGAAAGTGAGTTGACATGTTTACCCATTCTACTTTTAGGTTCATCTGCTGGTGATGCAGTCTGGTCTGGCCATTCTCCACCTCCACCGCAAGAAAATTGGGTCAGTTTTGCAGATACTCCACCAACCAGTACTCTTTTAACCATGCATCCTGCTTCTGTCCAGGTGTGACATTTTATTGGTATTGCCTTTTTATTTGCTTCATTAAGAGTATTGCTGCAGTCATTGTTTTTACATTTTGCTATTGCAACTTTTATAAATGCAAGTTCACTCATGAAAAAAACAGAACTCTGCCTTATGGCTTTAAATCCATTATCATTGGAATGTTTCATTAAAAGTTTTGGCTGATATTCTTTCTAACTCCTTAGTGAAGTTTTAAAAGTTTTCTGCATCTAGGAATATATTTGCTTGGCTTACTTAGCACATTTTTCATCACTTTCTGTTGCTTACATATTGCTATCATTCTACAAATATATAATCACTTCGCAAAAACATTCATTAACATGGTCATAACAAATATGTGGTTTGCTGATGAGTTTGTGAAGATTTCTTCATATTTTAAACATTCACAGAAAGTAAGTTTTACTTTCAGAGATAAGTAACTTAACAATCTTGGTCCATATAGTCATATAGATAGATGCTGTACTGAGGAAAAAATGTTTCATTACAGGACCAGACAACAGTACGAACTGTAGCATCAGCTACAACTGCCAATGAAATTCGTAGGCAATCAAGTAGTTATGATGATCCCTGGAAAATAACAGATGAACAAAGACAGTATTATGTAAATCAATTTAAAACCATTCAGCCTGATCTAAATGGATTTATTCCAGGTGAGTTGTTAAAAACAGAAATTCTTCTAGATGGGGCAGGACAAAGTCTCAATTTCATAGTCTCAAAGACTTGGTTTTACTGGTCAGAGATTATAAAAAATAATTAATTCTCAAATTGTTTTAAAGAGTTTATGTTCACTGGAGAGCAAAAACATGACATCTATAGATGTTAAGGTTACCGTCTTAAGACTCTTACCTCATTTTATTCTTGGATCTGTAAGTACAGAATTACATTAAACAACACTGTTTTAATATTTCAGGATCTGCAGCTAAAGAATTTTTTACAAAATCAAAACTTCCTATTCTTGAACTTTCTCATATTTGGTAAGTGCAGTATATCATTAGTTGGGTAATGTGGGTTGTTTCATAGGAGTTTCCAGCAGGTAGACATTTGAATCTTAAAAAATAAACTATTATAGTAACCTTTTCAAAATGGTTCTCTAACAACTCAGTATTGCCTTACAGTAGTCAGCTTCTTGCTTACTCTCTGAAAAGAAATGAGTATACAGTAGTTCTTCAAAAAATGCTAAAATTCTTTAAGTTGTATCAACTGTTTCTTTGCTAGCATGATGCATGGAATAAAAGCTAGTTTGCTCATATATAGTTACGTTTATCACACTGGGTTTTTAACAGGTTTGTTAAGTCCTGTATCAAGTTATGAGCTTAAGAACAGTGCTTAGCTTCCATTTAAATAAAAACTAAGACTCAGGATAGCTGCTATATGGTTGGAATTAGCCATTAAAACATAAATCACATTCACAAACTACTTTTTGAAAGCAATGATCATGTAAATATAGTTTCCATTTTATATTAATGTATTTCTCTGTATTCTAAATTATTTTGTTAGTAGGGTTTTTAGTAGCAGAGGAGGTAGGTAGATAATGCCAAAGACTGAAAAATCAAGAATTGGCCATACATACCTACTGTTTGTAGTTTAAGGTGATAAATACAAAAGTGGCTGCCTCTGCATCTAGAAAATGGAAGGACAGTGGGGTGGGGCTGCTGTTTTCTGTATTAAGCCTTATAATCTTATTGGATGCTCTAAAAGTGCACACATATAGAACCTTTGATAACAATAAAAACAGGTTTAAAAAATTTCAGTGACTTATTAAATGAGCCTGACTTTAACTAAACCGTTACTAAGAATGCATGCATGTTAAAGGTCATTTTTTCGTGACCTTACTTATTGGGGCTATTTTTCAGCATTTTATTAGAATAATTTAAAGCATAGAGGAAAGTTTAAAGAATTGTGCCCTGAACATCTATCTGTATGCTCACTGCCTAGATTCTACAGTTAAACAGTTAGCTATATTTATTGTATAACAAACCTTTCCATCTATGAGATTTTTAAAATTATTCCTTGCACTTTTTTCTGGAAAAGGATTTCTCTTCTTGTTGCGATGTGAAGGGATCCAAAGCAGAATATGATTATATTCATAATAAGTTTGTCTCCTTAGGGAACTCTCAGACTTTGATAAAGATGGAGCATTGACACTGGATGAGTTCTGTGCTGCTTTTCATCTGGTAGTTGCTAGGAAAAATGGCTATGATTTACCGGAAAAACTCCCTGAAAGCTTAATGCCCAAATTGATTGATTTGGAAGATTCAGCAGGTAAGACGATCAAGAGCTGAAGAGACCTGATTGCATGCCTTGTAAATAACACTTGATTCTTAAAGCAAAAGCAAGATAGATGTTAAAACTTATCTTGATAGCCTGGGCATTTCATTAAGAGCATGTAGATTTGCCATTGGAATAAGATTTTCAGACTGAGCTTGGATTAATGATTTGTCTTATTTGGTCAACTTTAAACAATGAGATAAAGAATATATGCCAGTATTTCATTTTACACTTGTGACTTGCTGAGATTTGGAGAGCATTTCAAAGTATCTTGTTCTTTGCCATCCTTTCATTGCATTACATATTGTCTGAAATGGGTAAAGTAGCCTGTATTCACTATCAGCATTTTTCCATTTAATGTATCTTAATTTGTTGAAGAGAAATGTCTGGTTTATCATTAGACCTTTGCAATCCATAAGCATTTCCCTTTAAAAAGCCAAGCTCTTTTCTTGAGATGCCAAAGAAATCTGCAAATTTTGTGTTTGATTGTAGATAACGCCATTTTGTTACTGTCTTTACAAGAATGCCTTAATAAAAGCTCATACATCCTGGCAGCTTTCTTTAAAGGGAAACAAGAATATAGGGGATAAAAAGATGAGAATATTTTTCTTAAATTCTGGCTGAATAAAAAGAAATCTAATGTTAAATTCTTAATGAGTCTCATTTAAACTAAATTACTATTTTCTATTTTCCTATCTAAATTCTTTTTGGGATATTATTTGGAATAATTTTACAAAAGGAAACAGTTTGGCTCTCAAAAGGTCATTTATCTGTTAGGCAGTTTCAGTTGAGCCCAGAAGTACATATGATCTGACTCTATTACCTAACTTATACAGAAGGAATCATATGCATATCATTAGGGTCACAAAGAGAATAATGTCCTTGGAGTTAAGAATCAGTGTGCTTCTAGTTTTGCTAATGACTCCTGGACCTTGGGCAAGTTATAACCATTTAACTGTGTTTTTTTTTTCCTTCTGTTTCTCCACCTGAAATGTCATTCATGTTTCTAGACCTGAATTGTACACTGACCTTTTATTGACCAATAGATTGATTTAAAAATTTAGCGTTAATTTAGTGCTTAGAAGCATTATCCAATGAGATTCCTAGGATTTTCTTGATCATCTCATATGATTATTAGTAATCAGATAACCTATAACTTGAGTTGAAAGCTAAGTATTTTTGTGAGGTAATTTTTCTTCAGAGTACTTTTTTTAGGATTGTCTTAATTAAGAAACAAGCAAAAGAACTTCTTTGTTAAGCTTATTTGATAGTATAGCCAAAAGGGAAGAAATTGTTGTAGCTACATACTGCTGTATCATTGATTTAAAAATCGGGCCTTTACTGTATCTGGAGCTTTTCAACAACTTTAATTCTTTACAAACTGATAGCATACTAATATAAGAAAATAATTTAAGTTAGACATATTCTGTTGTATGTCATTTTTAGAGACTTGTGTGATTCTGTTACCTGTTGCATTCAGATTGGTGGATCTGACTTTTTGATGTAGTCAGTGAAGTTTTTTTTTCTTCTCCTTTTATTTAATTTAAATAAAATCAGGTTCCTTGTTAACTTGATCTACTGTCTGAATTTTAAGGCTAATTATTCAACAAGTTCTTTTCTGGACATTTGTCTTTTCATACCTGTTAGATCTGTTTAGCAAAGAGACTGATTTTTGCTTGTGTATATCGTGCACTAATTGCTCTAACTATAATTTTAAAGGTATCAAAGACTCAGATAGTTTTTTCCCATTCCAGTATAATATTATATGGCTTTCTGATCAAATTTATTATAAGCATTCTTTTTGTTGTTATCATTAATCTACAATTACATGAAGAACATTATGTTTACTAGGCTCCCCCCTTCACCAAGTACCCAGCCCCCCACACACACCCCATTACAGTCGCTATCCATCAGCATAGAATCACTACTTGTCTTCCCTGTGTTGCACAGCCCTCCCCATGTCCCCCCACATGCTAATTATACATGCTAATCATAATACCCCCTTTCTTCCCCCACCCCCCTTATCCCTCCCTTCCCACCCATCCTCCTCAGTCCCTTTC